ATAGCCTTACAATTTAGAATCCCCCCCAAAAAACAGATCAATGATTAATTTAGAACTTTTTTTATAAATATTTCTTCACATTTAGCAAATTGTGTTTTGTCCATCTACAATCCTTGTTCTAGATTATTTGTCATCATGACCTCAGTTGGTATATGTAGAATCTTTGGTGGTATTTGGTTTTAAATGACTGTAGACCTATAGGGTTTAGTAGTGAATTGTGGCCCCTTGAGATTGGAGCAGGGCAGTGTAAAGGGGGTGGGGGGCTGAAGCCTCATTTGTCTAACGGGTGTGTTGATGTTTAGGGGGGAACAGTATGCACAAGTCCAGTGCTTCTCTTTGCTGTGGCTTCTGGTCTTTCATCAGTCACTGCGCTGAGGAAAGCAATGCAAACACAGTGGGGGCTCCTTCTTTATGGGAATACTTCCTTGTTTGCCCTGTGCTAGCTCAGAACCAGGGCAGGGAGACATAACACAGATTGATGCATTGTTTTAAACCCTTTCACCTCCACTGGGGCAGACTGCTGTATCCAAACTTAAAGGCATGTGCATGTGACTATGCACATTTGAAATGTCAAGTCAGGTTTTTAATAAATGTATGTTTTCACAAAAGCAATGAAATGTAATATCACATCCAAGCTGATGTGCGTTAAATAAACATATTTTACAAATAGTTGGAAAATATGATGAAACCTCCCTCCTCCCTCTTCTCCGTTCCGTCAGTTTGGTGTAAGAGATGTCGAGGAATAATGCGTGTCTTTGTGTCCCGGACTGAACTAGCCCCACTATCCCCTGGGGGAAGGAGCATGTGTATGTGTGTGTGTGGGTATGTGTGTGTCTGTTTTTGTGCGTATGTAGCATTGGGGTGCGCAAGGTTAAGGTCACTTGGTCAGTCCCTGTGACCGTCCAGTGAGAGAATCAGTCGACACCTGTAAATGAAGCCGGGCAGGTGCATAAACCCTCCCGACCAAGGATGGATGCACACTACAAGTTTTTTAATAATACCACATTTAGTCCTATTTTGGCCCGACTCTAATTTAGGCCTTTAGCTAAGAGGGCCGTGAGAGTTTATTGCATCATACTTGTTAGTATAAAGTCTGGCTTAGCAGTCAAGCCTCTATCAAATCTCAAAATAACTTAAAAACCTTTTGGTCTCCAATAACTTCTGAAGAGCATCATCTGACTCTTTAGCTGCTAACTACTCCAATATTACCTACCTGTCACCTTCAAGTTTATAAATAAGTCTCAGTTCTCAGACCAAAACAGACAACATCTGGACCTCAATGTGGTCGCGACTTGAAAATCACAATTTAGCCTTTCCCTAAAGCATGTCCTGATTTATCCTCAATTCTGCTCTACATGTGACCATCGTTTACAAAATGAACATCATGCTCTATTAAATAAAACCTAGAACTAGCACTTGGAAGCAAGTTTGAATTATTCAGTGAGTTAATAAAACATAAAAAGTCATTTTTATCATAGACTTCAATACAATCAACTTGTAGAGTTATTAATGCGTCAAAACCTCGCTTGTTGGATGTTCAAACGTTTTCTGTTTTTTGGCACTTCTACATGTCTGGGGGTGTCCGCCTGGTTAAACCCCAAGGTCAGAGAAAATGATTTTTGGTGATTAATATTCCGGTGAGGAACCCTTCCAGGCATCTTTAAAAGTTAATGTCAGGGCTGTCAGAAGTGTATACAAATCTAATTAAACTTATCATTCCCTAGTCTAAGCTACAATCATAAGGTTACAATCATAGGCTAATCTGTTCAGATGTCAAGATGCCACTTATTATACTCATATGACATTGCACAAATCCATTTACGCTCTTAAGCCTCACACGCATCAGAGAAGCAAACATACCACCACCCCACAAAGCTCATGCCTGTGATCTTGGCAAACTGTTCATTCCCGGCCTATGACTCATAAAATTCCCAGATGACAGGGACAATGTCGATCCACTGTCCTGTCATCAGCTAATGAATTAGGCCGGGTTCTCTGCGCATTGCAATTGATAGAGTATGTCTCGCTGGGAAAACATTGCGCTGCAGTCTGTGGCCTTTTATGCAGGTTGCATCTATTAACGCTGCAAATAGCCCAGTGGCAATCCTGTGCATTCTCTCAGCATGAAGCAAGTACAATGAGGCACTGACACAGGTTGAATGTTATGAAAATAGACATGCACACACACACACACACACACACACACACACACACACACACACACACACACACACACACACACACACACACACACACACACACACAGGATCTAAAGTTCAAATAAATAATTGTTGATTCTCGAAAATGCTATTAAACATATAGAGTCTGGGAGGATTAAGTAAACAACGATAAGACAGGTGCTTGTGCTTTGGGGTAGTAGGTGGGACAAACTCATCTAACAGTCAATGTGTGTGCGCATGTTTGTGTGGATGCATTTGTGTGTGTATACGGGGGTGATTGAGGGGATCATTTCATAGTAAGAGTGCTGGAGGAGGTAGTGGAGGACACATAATCACTGTGAGCAAGGGCTGTCAGCTGTACACACAGAGGGAAAGCGGGTCAGAGTTTTGTATAAGGAAGGTCAAAAGAGAAGGGTACTGTGTGAGTGTCTGTGTGTGTATGTGTGGTCGTAGGGTGCAATTAGGACATATTTCATGTCTGTAATAACACATAGTCCTATTGCAATTCCTTGACATTTTGGGATACACTTTTTTGCTTCCTTTTTAAAAAGGTAGATTCATGTGTCCATTGAATATGAAACTGCAGCTGGTGGACGTTTCTGTAACTTAGCTTAGCTCAAAGGCTTCAAACAGGTCAAAACGGCTAGCTTTCTAAAAGGTACCAAAATGCACTTTCAAAGTTAAAAAATAAATATGTTTGTAAGAAAACACACAAGAGCAACCTGCATAGAAGCGAGGAAGTCGCTGCACTAGCTTAAGAATTAGTTTTGCTCATAACACTCTTAAAAAATTTCTATATCTTGGAAATAAAACAAATGATATGCACTATCCTTTCATGCATGAATTATGAAAACCTCAGTCAGGATTTTTTTACCAAGTGTTATTATTGCTCTTGGGGCATGAAAAACAAGATTTGAACTTTAGTTTTTTTTAATCTAGTTTTTTCAAAGAGATTTTTAATTGTCTACTCAGGTGGACAGTATGTGTTCAAGGTATAAACTGAAGAGATGTACATTTTGAGAAAATGGTCAATAAAGATGTGCAAACTGAAAATGACAATATAATAACATAAGTACATTGATTTATGGCCCAAAAAGATATTGCAGATGAAGTATTTTCAAGAATAACCAGGGCCAGGGGCCAATTTGAGGCCCCACGCACAGTTATTTGATGAGTGCTAGTGGAGCCTCGCAGCGGCGAAACCGTGCCGCGCCACCCTAATTGCGCCACATAAGCCATAGGTGCGCCTCAGATGAGGCTCCCCTCCGCAAGGGGTCCTTTACTTCCAAACTATCCGTAATGAGCTACCTCCGTGCATTACCACAGCATCTGGCTCTATATCGGACAGGGCCACCATACTAAATTGTTTTAATGAGCATTTTGTGTCCTGTGGCTCTCTGTTTGATTCTGTTTCTAATTCTTCTTCTGTGAACACCACAGTCTGTGACTGAACAATGTGGTCTGGAAAACCCTTTCAGTTTTACTCCTTTTACTGTTGATGTTGTTCATGAAGCCTTAAACAAGTTAGATCCTAAAAAGCCGGCTGGTCCGGACAATGTAGAACCTTTCTTTTTAAAGATAGCTGCAGATATTATTGCTCCACCTCTCACTACTCTTTTTAACCTCTCTCTCAGAACGAACAAAATCCCAAAAGTATGGAAGTCAGCTTATGTCCTGCCACTACTAAAAGGAGGGGAGACCAGCTTATTAAACAATAATAGACCAATCTCTAAATTGTCAGTTCTGGCCAAGGTTCTTGAACGCCTAGTGAGTGAGCAGGTAAAGGTGTTTTTATGTACAAATGACATCCTGTCTAAACATCAGTCAGGCCTCAGAAAGCAACATAGCACCATCACTGCCACAATGAAAGTGGTGAATGATGTGGCGAGTATTTTAGATAATAAGCAGAGTTGTGCAGCTCTATTTATTGACCTGTCCAAAGCGTTTGCCACCGTTGATCATCGCATCTTNTTTCATGCTAAATGAAGCTCTGTTGCTTGGATATCACTAGATCCTGTTACAGCGTAATATAAGTACATAACGATTGATGTCGACATTAGCATAATTACTAGCTAGCCGCTAGCTGCCAACTGCCGCCTCGTTCATATCAAATCCATCATAATAACAATCCATTACCATGCTGTTACGTGTACGCAAATGGACGTGCTTGATGTGAACGAGCATTTTGGTTAAAGTTGCGCATGCGCTAGGGGCGCACATACGGGTACTTCTCAGGCATGCCGGGTAATCTGTGACGTTTCGCTCTCTCAAAAGTTGGGCCATTTTATCATCATGCGCCAACGAGCAACTCTCATAGGAATGAATGAGGCCCCGCCTCCCACGCTGTATCCAGTTCTTATTATACATCCATGTACTGGAGCCATCAGCCATTGGAGTGTTGCTTGTGGAAGACATTCTCAAGCAACCGTTTCGCTTCTCATGCACTGATTCGCTAGCTGAACAGCCAATGAGAGTGATGTATTTGTGCGCCGGCCATGAAAGGCCAAATAAGGCGTGTCACAGCCGACTGTGCGGGACACACCAAATTGAGTTTGGGCGACAGGGCACGCTTGTCCGACTAACGGAAACGGCCGATTTCGGCCTGGTGTGTCAGGGCCTTTAGAGTGCTTGAAGTAATGAAGAACACGTACAGGAATTACTTTCTTTTGAATGATTTTCTATTTTGCTCACCTTTGAGATAAAATGGTAAATATGAACTGAAATGTGCCTAAATCTCTCGGTTTTATTTTTACAGATACATTTTACGGGCTTTAAACCATGAAAGTAGGGAACATTCTGTAATAATCTGTGTCTGTCTTTTGTTTTTCAGTCGGTGGTGAAAACCGGACGCCTGCTCATCAGTCATGAAGCACCAATAACCGGAGGCTTTGCTGCAGAAATCAGCTCTTCAGTACAGGTTAGTGTGTGCCGTCTTTGTATCAGAACACACTGTTTCATGACAATTTATTGGGGTCTGTAGCTCCCAGGGGCTTGAGGTGATCTTCAAAGCTATTGGTCTTAATAGGGAGCAATTAAAGTCCCACTTTGTAATAAAGCTATATGGGCTTTCACAAATTGCCCGAAAGCAACGGTGTAAAACTTTGAGGTGTGCCAAACCAGGAGGGGGCATGAGACTTAAGGGAAGACATCAAAACAAATATGCAGTGTGAGGTGAAAGTGAAATGTACATGCTGGTGTTAGCATATAGAGGCACTTTAAAACCTTCTGTACTTTAAATTAATTGATTTATTTGTTTAGAAATTACAGAAACGGCACTCTCTGTATTACAGAACACCATAGTTCCCTCCGGAGGGATTTCTCTCCCCCCCGCCTTAAATGCCTACATTTGACAATTTTTTTTTCTTCCGCATTGTAGTGACATTAATATGTAATGCTTGCACTTCTATTGGCTAGTGCTCCAGCACATTGTACGTGATGGGCAAAGGGCCACTTCTCGAAGCGGTTGACCATTAGCAACAGAGCTGGTCAGCTAATCAATCCTAGCAGGTTGGGCTCTGGTTTTATAGACCCTCCAGAAAAACGCGATTCTGCGATCGCAGAATTTACCGCATAATCAGCCAAATGGCGCAGATTTTTAAAAAGCCGCATATTTATCAAAAGGCCGCATAATCCCCGCATTTTTCCACACAAAGTTGAGAAGAAAAAAAAGTTAACTCGTCTTGACGTGACGTCATCAGCTCGCGCATCACAGAATGTAAACAACACTGTATAGAGCTCATTTACCAACGAACATTTCTACTAAAGACCGGGCAAAAAGTGGGGGGAAACTATTCTGCAACCCGTGCAACTGTGTGTTGCAGCATAAGAGAAAATCGACGGTGGCGACCCACTTTGATTCATTCAAACATTCGAAAATGCTTTCTGCTGCTGCGGACAAGAAAGCCATTCAACTCCCGTTCACCGAGGGATCAACCTCCAAAACCCTTTCGAGGGCTACCAGAAACGAAGTGAGTAGCCTACAAGATGGAAGCTGGTCAGATAACGAACGAGTAAATGAAAACAGAATGAGGCGGAGAAGTGTGTGTGTGTGTGTGGGGGGGGGTGGTGTGAGATTAAAATAGCCCAATTGCTTTTACAATAAATAAACATTGAATGTGTTTAATTGAATAGTAAAGGGGTTTAACGTTAGTGGCAGGCTGTGTGTGAGAGAGAATAAATAAGACAGCCCAATATTTTAAAAAATTGTTATTCTTTTCCCCCGCATATTTAGCATATTTCGCAACTTTCCGCATATTTCCTAACTTCCCGCAATTTCACCGCATAAAATCACATAAAAACCCTGCATGTTTAATCGCATAATCAAGGATTTTAGCCCGCATAATCAAGGAATTTAGCCCGCATAATCAAGGATTTTTGCCCGCGTTTTTCTGGAGGGTCTAATCAGACCCTCCAGAAAAACGCGATTCTGCGATCGCAGAATTTACCGCATAATCAGCAAAATGGCGCAGATTTTTAAAAAGCCGCATATTTATCAAAAGGCCGCATAAGCCCCGCATTTTTCCACACAAAGTTGAGAAGAAAAAAAAGTTAACTCGTCTTGACGTGACGTCATCAGCTCGCGCATCACAGAATGTAAACAACACTGTATAGAGCTCATTTACCAACGAACATTTCTACTAAAGACCGGGCAAAAAGTGGGGGGAAACTATTCTGCAACCCGTGCAACTGTGTGTTGCAGCATAAGAGAAAATCGACGGTGGCGACCCACTTTGATTCATTCAAACATTCGAAAATGCTTTCTGCTGCTGCGGACAAGAAAGCCATTCAACTCCCGTTCACCGAGGGATCAACCTCCAAAACCCTTTCGAGGGCTACAAGAAACGAAGTGAGTAGCCTACAAGGTTGAAGCTGGTCAGATAACGAACGAGTAAATGAAAACAGAATGAGGCGGAGAAGTGTGTGTGTGTGTGTGGGGGGGGGTGGTGTGAGATTAAAATAGCCCAATTGCTTTTACAATAAATAAACATTGAATGTGTTTAATTGAATAGTAAAGGGGTTTAACGTTAGTGGCAGGTTGTGTGTGAGAGAGAATAAACAAGACAGCCCAATATTTTAAAAAATTGTTATTCTTCTTGTTAACTTCCCGCAATTTCACCGCATAAAATCACATAAAAACCCTGCATGTTTAATCGCATAATCAAGGATTTTAGCCCGCATAATCAAGGAATTTAGCCCGCATAATCAAGGATTTTTGCCCGCGTTTTTCTGGAGGGTCTAGTTTTAGGTGAAAAGAGCTACTGCCGCACAAACAGTAAGAGAAAAATAAAGCACTTTATGAAGATTAAAGTTCAGGTATTTAAGCATTTAAGAAATACATTTGTCGTTTTCTTTACATTATGAGAACATTGCAAAGAGGAATAACTGGTAACAACTTTTAGCAAATATGATTGGGCTGATAAAAGATAGAAACACACCAAAAACAGTAAAAACCTCAGAGGCAAAGAAGATGTCTTTCAATATCTTCTGTCGGTTCATAACAAAAACATTTGCTGAAATAGCAGGATATCATCATATTTGAAAGGCAGAAAACTGCTATTGTATTTTACACAAAAAATGAATTCAACAATTCATTATTTTTCAAATTGTTGTCTATTATTTGTCTTTCAAATAACTTGTTGATTAGTTGTGGAGTCTCTTAACAAAATGGAGGGAAAATGATTCTAAATATAAGTAAACACTGTATAAGTAATTAGATTCTACAGAGTAGCACCTCCATTAGTTCTCTACAGTGTTTTGTAAGCTTGTACTACTCATCTGAGAGTGTTGATACAGTGGGTCTAACTATCCATATAAGGTGCCTGAAATATTGTGTGTTGCTGCCAATACAAAAGGCCTTGACACTGTAACAAAGACGTGCCAGAGACAGCCGTTGACCAATTCTGAGCTAAGTGCGATGCATGACTAAATGAAAAGCCTTCCCTTTCTCATCATCCTAATTATATCTATCTGTGTGTGGTGAGATAATTCTCTTCAGTATGTGGGGTGTTTTCTCCATGTGAGCAGTGAATACAACTCCCCTCTGAATACCTGCCACTTTACAATTCATGGGACTAAGTGTATGCACAGCATTGCATTTGTTACCTGGAGCCTTTTACTTGTTAATGTGTATGAATTCAGTTGAAGCAGGACAAGAAAATCGATCCTCTCCTCGTTTACTGCCAGTCAGACGTTGCTCTCTCCTCTGTCAGAGAGGGCTTGAATGGCCAATGACTCATCGTCCTCATTTCCATGTTTCCACGTTTTCACATTGTGTACGGGTGATGTAAGTTGTTGGTGTGTTCACTGATTGCCTTCTATCTGCAGTATTCATAGGCTGCAAGCCTCAGATACACTGCTGTACTGTTTTTAAAGGATGCATCTTCACCTCAATCACGCTGTTAAACACTACATTATATAATGTATATTACTTCTTCAAAGACAAAGAGATATGCTTATTTTGGCTTCCTAACAAATACAATGTATGATAACCCTCAGTACCCTTTAATATCCAAAAAGTAATTCCTTTCTAAGTGAAGCGTTTAGTGCTTTTTGTGTTGAGCCAGATTCAAGCACTTGGGACTAAAGCAGGTCTTTTCTGCTTTAGTTTGTGGATATCAAGATTTGCCTTGCTCCATAACTGGAAGGATGAAAGTGCCTGATAATCTCAGAGCTTCTTTCCCAATTTAATTTTGTTGGAAAAATATCACTCGTCACCGGCTTGATCTTCAATATCAGGATACATGTATTTATTATCCTTGCAAGAATGGAAGTAGTCATCACATACAGCTTATGGGACAACTAGTTCCAGAACAGTGTCCTTCATATGCTTTACATACAAGAGAGGGTGTATCACAGTCACAAGATACATGTATACCGGTTCAAAGCAGTATTCTATGCTTCGTTCAGATTAGCTAAGTACCACGTCAGAAATGATCATGCTTGTCATGTCTATCTCCATAGTGACTGAATGATCATGTTAATCACATAGCTATCATATGCCTAAAACAGTCCTGATGCTCTCCTAGGTAATCATACATCCTGTCATGTACACAGCTACGTAGGGCCTTTGTTATCATGTGCTACTCTGATATTGGAAGAGTACATTCAGTATTTTTCCAAAAAATTTGACAGTTCAACCCAAAATAAATCTTTAACATATCACACAGAAGACGGTTATGAGCCACCACATTCTTCAAAGGACCATGTTTAATAAAGCAAGGATACTCAAGGAGATACGAATCTGGGTAGTTTAACCGCTTGCAAGATAGCGGTTGAACTGGAATGAGGCGTTGTCTGCATTTAGGGACTTTCATTTCATTTCATTTCAAACCTTTATTTAATCAGATTGGTCCCTTGAGATCATAGATCTCTTTTTCAAGGGAGACCTGCAGTGCAGGGATGCTTCCTTTGTGTTGGAATGTATTTGTCATAATAGCTCAACTTCTATATCATTTTTTTTAAAGCATGTTTGTGGCCGACAAGCAAGATCGTTCAATAATTTATTTTTTATTCAGTTATGTTCGTTACCATAAAGTGCCCTATGATCGGTAAACAGAGACATACAAACTAAGCAAAAAATAATTTTGAGGCATTTTAATTGGAAGTAAGCCTCTTGATCTACGGAGAAAAAAAACCTACAGGTCTGATTCCACTGATGGGCTCTCTCTTGTCTTTTTAATGGAACTTTGAGAAAGTCAACATCTGTTTATAATTTAAAGAACATGCAACACTACAGATAATGTGCTAGTATTTGATATTGGTCTTTCTCAAGCAGCCAAAAATCAAGCTGTAAGCCAAGCAGTGCTTAATTTGTTTTGTTTACTTGGCTTACAATTCGTCTGTGTTGACAGGTGGAGTCTGACTGCTAAGCCCCTGAAACATTTAGAAATTAAGTCTTTAAAGGTCCCATGACATGGC